GGGATGAATGCCTTCCAAACGACAGACTTCCAAAATTTTTTTCACCTTTAGAAGACCGTCTATTCAATTGTCAATATATTTCAACCATTGGAGATGTTCTAAATGTGTTGGGTAGGTATGGTATGACCCATTGGTGTGTGCAATATCTAATTTACCCTGGTCACAACGTTGCCATTAATGATTGACCAAATTTTGACTTAATCTTAACCATTGATATGAAGTATCAAATGATCAATATTTATTCTCATTTCTTTCACTATCTTTCTTTCTCATTTGATCTCTAACTCTCTAATCTATAGTTAGTTTGACTAAACAAAAATAAACAAAAACATTATTCATAATGAGGTATCTAATGTTTAGTTAATTTGACTAGACACAAATAAACTAAAATACAATTTTCATCTCTAATCATTATATTATATTAGAATTAGATATACTATTAATCGTAATATAATATTTTATTAAGGCTACAATTTTATTAACTAATCTTTATATTATATTAGATTATTATTATTTTATTATAATAGATATTATAATCATAATATAACATTTTATAAAGGCAGCTCAACATAACTGATATTCCCAAATCTGCCCGTCTCCTCATCCAAATCGCCGTCCCCAAATCCTCTTGTTTCGACTTTCGCTCTTGTCCCTATCACCGTCCCCAATTCGCCTCCGCCCGTCCGCCGTCCCCAAATCGCTGCTCCGCGCCTCCGCCGTCCCCAAATCGCTGTCCGCGCCTCCGCCGTCCCCAAATCGCTGCTCCGCGCCTCCGCCCGACCTTCGTTCCCAATCGCTGTTCCGCGACTCCGATCGACTGTTAACAGCAAGGAGGTAAAGTTTTTATTTTTCTTATTTTTTGTTGAAAAAATTATTTGTTTCTCATTCTTGAGATTCTTAATATTAGTGTCGAAAATATTAATGTTAAGCTGAATTTGAAACAAAATTTGAATGAAAATTATTGTGTTAAGTTGAATATGAAACTGAATCTGTATGAAAATATACCAGAGAGATTTCAAATGATGTTATCTTGAGGAGAAATATTCGATTATTTTTACAGATTTGATTGAAGGGTAAAATTAGTGCAATTTTTCTTGGATCAAGGTTGGAGGCTATGAAAATAAATGATATTATTTTCTAGGATATATTTCCTAATTATCTGAAATTTGTGTTTATGATTTTGTGTTGCTGAGTGTTGTGGGTGTCATCTGTATCCGGCCGGGTCGGGTGTAGGGTAGTCAGTTAAAACCCTATCTAACGGTTGCACCAATTTGGGTACCCGATTACCCGGCGGGTAAAACCCAACCTGAACCCGGTGGTGGATAATCAGGTAACGGGCCGGGTACGTGTACATTTTTTTAACAGTCGGGTCGGTACGGGTATGTCAAAACCCGTACCTAGCCCGACCCATTTACATCCCTACTCTCGATGCTTCTGGCGACGCCAACCAGTACTTAATCGGCTTCCTCGTCATTAATCTTTCTCTTTTCCGCTCTCTCATCTGCTTTGGTTGCCTGCTCTGCCCCGTCTACTTTCAAGTGATAACACCTTCTGCATATTAGCAATTTCTCTCTTTGCTATTCAAGATTGTTTTTTTAGCTTATCTTATCTTTCTTTCATTTCCCAAATCCCAATTATGTTTGTCTTTTATGAAATTCGGATTAGGGCAAACGTCCATGGCCCGTATTTGACTCTGATTCACCACTTTATATTGGTCAGATTAATTTAATATTGAGTCAAGAATTTTGTTGGTATTATCTAATAGGGTTGCTGATATCTAATGATCATTTATTTATATTTTCTCTTTCAAGAAACTAGATTGTGTTATCAAAATAGTACCGTGGCTTCGAATTGTTAGATAACCGTTGATATACATACATTTGTATTTATGTTCATTTGTGCTTTAAGAAGTTGAATTGATTATTTGTTCAATATGTTTTAGAGTTTGTAACTTTTGATGCTTAGGAGTCTGTGTGAATTTATTTTTCGAAAACTCATTTGATTTGGTGAGCTCCATGTGGGTTTGGACATTCTTTGAAATAAAGCTTTTCATGTTGTTTGCAGTGCTTATACACTTTCTCATGATCGCTTTTATATTTCTTTTTATATTTTTTTCCCTTTTAGGTGATATATTATATTGGCGTTGCGATGTCTCTAAGTGCGATGATGGCCAGTTCTATTGCACTACAACCTACAGGTGTGCATATTTCCATCTTCTATTAATTTAGATTAGCTGAATACATTGCAATTTTATTTATCATGATTTTTTTTTTTCTTTTTTTTTCGGCGTGTGAGATTTGTGTGTCTGAAATGCTGTTTTAGGAGATCCAAGGGTTGAGTTAAAAGTTTCTAAACCTGCTAATTAAATAATAGTTATTTGCTACGTAGACATGGCCTTTCGAATTTAGTCATGAGACATGACTTATCATTCTATTTTTTAGTTTCCAGTCTGATGGTTAAGTCTGTTGGTTTGGTAATATTTTTTGATGTATTCTCATCTATTGACATTATTTTTGTTGATTATTGAACTTCGTTCTTTCGTGACTGGTGAAACCGTATTTTATGATTACACAAGAACTTACCACGATGGTCAGGGTGAAATACAATTTTTTTCTTCAATATTGATTATCTATCCTTGGACGTAAACACAATTTCGACTTCAAGATTTTAAATTCTAATTTTTATCTTTTTTATTTACAGTTGGTCTGTCTCGTCCAGTTCGCCCGAAGCCTCTTTGCACGCAGTTTTCTTTTGGGAGGAGCAAAGCTCATGCCATTCAAGTGAAGCGTGCATTTGTCATTTGTTCTGCTGCTGAACAGACCCAAACAATAACCCGCAAATCATCTACGATTACAGTTGCACCTATCCAGGGTACTTAAGTTTAACTTCGTTTTACATTCACTTTTGTGTGTGCTACCTTTTTTTGGCTTACCCGTCACGAAATTAAAGAATCTGTTCGGGCTTGGGCTTGGGCCTGACTCGTTTGGATAAACCCATTTGATAATTGTTCCAAAACAAAAAGTAGGAAAAAGATAAAAAGAAACTAAAATGTGCCTGCTCCATTCGTTTTTAGAGCCGTACCAATGCTTAATCTTGTTAATTTAATGCAGCTTTGCTTGCATTGATATTTTTCTTTTTCCCAAATGTCATCATATGCCATATCTATAAATCTGGCTATGGATAAAATATTGCATTTTCTTTCACTTATTTCTCCAATACAGCACATAAGTTTGGAAGCTTGAGCATTTGAAACTCTGCTTGTTTAATTTGTATGTATTATAGGAAAAGAAAAATCCCCGGAGCTTGATGATGGTGGAGCGGGATTTCCACCGCGTGATGATGGTGGCGGCGGCGGTGGCGGCGGCGGCGGCGGTTGGACTGGCGGTTTTTTCTTCTTTGCCTTCCTTGCTCTCCTGGGACTTCTCAGGGATGAAGAGGGTGAAGGGAATTATAAGGATAAACGGAGATGAGAGAGAGAGAGAGAGAGAGAGAGAGAGAGAGAGAGAGAGAGAGAGAGAGAGAGATTGTATCCTTCGTTATATTTTTGTTTTATGTTGGAGGAGAATAAAATTCAAGAGATCTATTCTTTTTACGAGTTGGGCAATTTTGAAGATTGGTGACGTATTAAGCTCATGATTTTAGGCTTAGAGTGTTGCAACTTTAGAAAATCTTACATTCAACTTCTGGAGTGAAAAATTAAAAAATGAACCGAGTAAATTTAATTGACTTGGTAATGAAGAGCATTGATAATTGTCAAAGAAGTTGAAATGCCTGTATATGTAGCTAAAAGCCAAGAAGTTGGAAATTTTATATTAATCAATAATCATGTGATTATAAACTTATAATGTTCAGGAATTCAAATTTACTAGTTTTACATCGTTGACACGAAAAACGATATAATAAAAGAGAAAATAATTGAAAATATAGAATAAAATAAAAATTTATAATTAATAAATGAGAAGAAAGTGCATCTAAATATTATTAAACACTTTTTTATATACAATATTCGTGATTTTCCTATCGTCGTAATCCCTTTCAAAACAAATCATTACCGTTAAACTTTTTCGAATCGTGACACTAAGATTTGATTTTTCAAAATATTTGATGTATCTTTGTAATATTCGAAAAAATATTTTTTTATTATTGTATGACTGCAATTCAAAATAGTGATATTTGTAGTCAATCTTAATTAATTTTGTGAAATATTTATTTATATTATACCACAAAATATATAGTATAAAATAAAAACAAAAAAAAAAATGTATTCAAGACATAAAAGGCGTTACATAAATGGACATCATCCAAAATGAGAGTTGTCAAAATAAATTGTGTAACTGAAAGTTACATGTAATTATTAAATGATGAACATATTTTCATTAAATGAACACCTATTTTTATTAAATGAACTCATATTATTATTAATTGTTGGCTGATTAAAATTTATTGAAACTTGACTGTAATATATATATATATATATGTATATATATATATATATATATATATATGTATATTTGTTTGATTGAAACTTGGCGCGTATTAGTTTGTCGCCACAGACTATGTCAAAATAAACTCAAGTCCGAGTATCATGGTCATACACAAGGGACGAAGGTAAACCATGCAAACGATACAACTTTAGAAAGAATATCTGTGCCACATACGCGGCGTCTGTTGTGCGCTTGCACGGGATAAGTATCATCTTCGAAAAGTGGACACCACTACGAGAATGGAGTTGTATACTTGATGCGTGCGCGGCAAACCAAGCACAAAATCCATACAGATAACACCCCATGGCTGCGACGAAATCGAAAAAGGGCGATAAAGCTAGCCTTGGACACCACACCATTGGCAATCTGACAACCTGCAGGACTCGACAAAGCGTGAAACATCACGCCGTAAAGAGAGCCAGAAAAAGGAGCATTGCACCAACTCAATGGATCTATCTCTACCTACATGACTGGCTTCATGAAGATCGACCACTAACTTTTGACGAAGACTACAATCTGGTAGCCATAGTCGAACATCTGGAAAGACAAAGCCATCAAAGAAGACGTAGTCCTCAAAAGGACTAGACGCGAGGCACATGACAATCAGACCGAAAAAGCATTAGTCGAATAAAGATCAGACAACAAGTCAAAGACCATAATCGAGACACGCACATCCATCAATACCAAAGAACGACGACTCAAAGCATTTGTGACGCGCTTAGAGGCCCACAAGCAGTGGTTCAACATGAACGTAAACTGCTACAAAAACGTTGTCCACGAAACATGTCGCGAGGATATATTGCTTTGTTGGCGCAATGCCTCATGATCGGTACATAGAACAATCCCTCGATGGAAGAGATAATGACGTCAATAGCGCACAACACGGACCACAGCAACTCGACATTGTAAGTGTTGTGTAATGCAATCGAGGGCCCGACAATTTATCATTGAAAAAAGCTAGGGGTCGCACATCTTGGCTCAAGACCGCCCCAATCCCGACCTTCAATGCATCGCAAGAGAGCTCAAAAAGAGATGAAAAATCAGGCAAGACCAACAGGGGATCATACATTAACTTACTCTTAATAAGAGCAAAAGCATTCGCGGTTTGCTTTGTCCATACAAAGGACTTGCAAACGAGATAGTTTGTAATATGTTTCATGATTGAGCTAAAATGAGAAATGAAGTGCCGATATAAATATATGAGACCATGGAAGCTACGCGCTTTGGTGATTGAGGTGGGATTCAGTCAACCACGAACGACCTCTACATTTTTATCGTCGACGCATATCTCATCTTTCGCAATAAAAACCCCAAAAAGACGGAGTCAACCAAGAAGCACTTCTCCAGCGTCTCAAAGAATGACTCAATGCGCAGAATGAGGATAATCGAACGAACGTGAAGCAAATGCTCTTCCATAGAGCGGTTATAAATAAGTATGTCGTCCAAATAAAAGACAAGACAGTGCCTAGATTATCACGCGCATAAAGGTACTTGGCGCGTTAGATAAACCAAATGGCATCACCAGCCATTCAAATAAACCCTCCCGAATATCAAACGTCGTCTTCCACTCATCACCTGGATGCAGATCTGATGATTGACACTCGAAGATCCAACTTTGTGAAAATGGAGGCGCCATGAAGCTAATCTAACAAGTTATCCAAGCGAGGAATAAAAAAGCAATAGCGAACCGTAATCTTGTTAATCGCCCTGCTATCCGCATACATGTGTTAAGAGTTGTCTTTCTTCGGGATAAGTACAGTGGGTATGCACACGGACTCAAGCTCTGACGCACCTGGCCCAATTGTAAGAGCTCCTTCACCTGTCTCCGTAACTCCTCATGATCCGACACACTCAAACTGAAAGACATAAAAAAATTCTCGATCAATGAGTGAATGGCCTCATAGTGAGTGTGCTCTGTTGCATTGTCAGAGCCTAATAGTAGAAGAACAAAAGGAGCCTCACACATCTCGTCAACAAATGTCGCGCGAGACATGAATAAGACCGATGATGGTGCAAAGGCGAATAACGACCTTGGCGAAGATGGATGGAGAACAATCTTAACACCCTCGAATATATAATTGTAGGTGTTAAGTCGACCGTCATACGAGGCCGAGTGATAAAACTGCCACAGACGACCCAACAGAAGGTGACACGCGTCCATATGAACGACAACACACCAAGCCGCGTCTCTGTATGTGGCCCTAATCGTAAATGACACCAAAATGCGGCAGTCGACAGTGATAGCATTGTCACAATGTATCCAATTGAGAATATAAGGTTGAAGATGTGGCTCGCTCGACAATCTAAATTTCGCCATGACCTTTTGCATGACCACATTCTCGCATGACCTTGTCACAAACATGACTGCCAACTGTGCATGTGGAATAAAAAATGTGGTGACGNTGTACTGAGTCCTCGAAAGTCACATGCGGCGCCAAGCAAGAATGACGAATAACGAGGGTTGGGTCCACGTCGTCGGTAAGGAGCTCCATCGCCACAGGAGGTTCGTCATAAAAAACTAGCGGCCCTTCGTAAGATAATCTGCCATCAACCTCCCCGTTGTCGCCGGTGAATAATGCACGCGAGCTGCCTGTTCGAGGGCACGAGGCCTGTCGATGCCCGAGATCATCGCACGAAAAACACCGCAGCCCCAGGCCCGATCCGACGCTCGCTGATGGACCCACAACCACTAGAGGACCGTCGGAGTCAAACGCTACCACTGGGCTACCCAGTGCTGGGACTATTGCTGCAACCGAGATGAGCTGCGAATTATCACACAAGTTGCTCCTACACCAGAAGGGCGCGTTGATGTGCGTCGGAGATTGAGTCCGGAACAAACAAGTTTAACGTGTCATGAATCGACAAATGCAACCCACCAATATACCGGGAGACGAGTTGATTTGTCGTCTTGTGCACGTCGGCCCTTGAGCAACAGATAGAATTCTTTGGTATAATCGTTAACCGACTGATTGCCTTGCCGAAGATTTTGCAAATTCTGATAAAATGTAAGCACCTAGTTGAAAGGTAAAAACTGACGTTCGATGTGCGTCTTAAGTTTTGCCCAGGCTGTGACCTTCGGTTTGCCAAGATGACTTCGTGCCGTCTTGAGCTGCTACCACCAAGAGGCGGCTCGGCCACGCAAATTGGTTCGTGACCAAAGCCACACGCCGGTCATATGAAACCACCTTGTAGTCGAGTACAGACTATACTGTGGCCTTTCAATCCAAGAATTCCGACGCTTCCATGCTGCCAGTGAACTATGGAATATCAACGTGAAAAGACGACTTCTACCGACGCTCCTCAGCGAGAAAATCTCAGAGAGGGTGTCGTCATCCACACCTTCTCGACCCACGGTGGAGGCAATCGGGCACAGGGGCGCCCCGCGTGTACCCCGACTGCGACCCCCGTGCACCCCCCGTGATAAATTATCATGCTTTGTGATTTGGCTTGGATTGATTTTAAGTACTCTCAATCTTATGTGGCAAATTTTCATGCTTTGTGATTTGGTTTGGATGGATTTCAAGTACTCTTAATCCAAAAATAATAAAGTCTGGAATACTTTTAAGAACATTAATTATGTTACATATCATATTCTAGAGGTGATTTATAAGGTATAATTTTTCCTCAATCTTTGTTTTTCCTCATCTTTCTTTTAATATTATGAAAAAATTATTAACTAAAATTATAAGTAGATTTATATATTAATAACTTTTTTTTTTTTACTTTTTATCAATTTTTATACATAATATCAAATTAATTATGTCTTGATAAGCTTTACTTCGAACCCTTGTACATATATAATATTAAATCATTATATTTATCATTATAATTAAATTAAATTACCTATTAAAAATAATTTAAAAATAAAATTAATTAAAGTAATTTAACTACAAAGTTGTTAAATAATAAATTGTAAAAAAAAAACAATTATAATAGGCATTCTTTAGTTACTTATGTTCCTCTTTTCTTCGTATCTCGACTTATTGTTCTTTCTGCCATTGATGTGCTTTGTTCTATGTTTCTTTTGCAGATGCCATACTGAAGAAGGCGCGACTAAGTTCAATTCCTTGGGGTAGTGTTCAGATCGGTGAAGATTGTCTATATTTTGCAAGTCACGAATCAAATTCTACAATTGAAACCTACGCGCATTGGAACTAAGTTTCAACGTAGAATACTTACGGCTTAACATCCGTAGACTCAGAGACATTGTAGGATTTCCGTTGGAGATCAATTGATTCATCTTCGTCGAAAAACTAGTCTCTCCGAACGCTCGGAGTCGCTGGGAGATCCTACATATGATAGTCGTGGACTGCAGCTTGCATTTAGTTGCAGACTGCGGGCGTGTGGTGGTCTTGGGCCTGCAGCGTGCAAGCATCACGGATGTGCAGGCGTGCTTGAGGAGTGCAAATGTCCAGGACTGGGTGGTTGCGTCTCGGCTGTACAGGGCTAGCGAGATCGCGGTGGTCGTCGGGGCTGGCGCTCGAGCGTGCCATGCTCGTCTCAGCTAAGGGCTCGCGGGCATGCGGTGATACGCGGAATTCGTCGGGCCCTTATCAACCTCAGAGCCTTCTGCTCTCTCTAGTTGTCTTCGTGGGCGACAAGCTCAGATACGACTTGATTGGGGACTAGGACCGATCGATGCATTTTATGCGTGTGGTTTTGTGTCTCCCAACCCCAAGAGTATGATGTATATATTAGCTACAACATGGATCTTAAGTAGATGATAATGTGGGCTTCTTAAATCTTGGGTCTAACTGTTGGCAAAACCCACTATGCTCAATGACTTAGATAATATTTCAATCCACTAAAGAAACATTATCCCACTCCCTCATTATCCTCAATTTACTTTCGAGGCTCCAATAATAATAATTACCTGAATTACCTCTCTGTATTTAAGATATAATGTCCGTCAATTACTTTAATTACTGACAATCAAATTAATCGACATCTTGAATCGATGCTAGTACCACTCAAATCATTATTATTATGTCAGAACTTAATCCATCTGCACGTTTTAACATAATTATCCTTCATGAGCTCACTTCGGGGACACCATCAGATTTACACACATGGTGACTGTAAATATTAGAACAACACACTATGCATACAACATCACCACCCTAATCACCCAGACTATTGGCCCAGATATAATGAACCTAACTGTATGGTGAATCAAAGAGTGTCTACTACATACATGTACCGTTTATATCTTAAAGGTTAAGAAAACATAGTAATGAATCGAGTCTTAGTTTGTTTACGACGATCAGTATAAAATGAACGGCTCCTCTTTGGGATTCGTTCAATACACAAGTGTACTAGTGCAACTGATCAGTCAAAACCAACTATACAATTGATACTACAACCATTCCGATGATATTTTCATTTCCAGAGCCGATCCTAAACTTTACAAGGTCCTGGGCAAAATATGATAAATGATGCCTTTGGTTGTTCTTAATTGTTTAAGTTAATAAAAAAATACATCATGTAACTCGCCATAATAAAAAAATAGTGAAATTTAAATACAAATATAGCTAAAATTTATAAATTATAGCTAAAATTGATAAATTAATTTTAGAAATTTCTTAAAAATTACAAATGAAAGTAAAGGAGGAAATTCTATCTCTCAAGTAACATTCCCACGGATCATCTCTCTCTCTCTGCGAATCTCTCCAACCCTCGTCGCCCGATAATCTTCGTTGCCTTTCTCTCAGTCTCCGGCTTGACGGCAGTCGATTCCACGCTGGCCCACCCTTCCCAGTGGCCGCGTCTCTCCTCACCTCTTGTATAGGTGGAGTTCAGTTGTCTTCAAATTCGATTCGCCCTTTTCGGAAGGCGAATTAGGGTTTGAGGTAGCCGACTTCTCCGGTGCGGTGGTGGGTTCTTGGGGCGCGTACTTTGGGATTGGGTCGGGATGCGGTTCAGGTGTTTGCTTTCACGGATCGAAGCGTTTTGAGCTCTTATGTCGGACCTCTATCCGAATTATCTTTCGATAAATTGAACAGATGGTTCGGTATTCTTCCGATTGCAGCGGGTTTGGGGGTCTATCAGTTCGCTCAGTTCCGTTTCGCCGGTGGTGTGGTGCTGGAAGGCGGAATCCCATTGGTTGTCGACCTCGGTCTCGATCTCAGGTGACCTCCTCTTCTTA